CCGGCCCTGCACAGGATCTGCAAAAGCACTCACTTGCGTGTAATGATCTCATGAGACAAACAGGCAGGAGCAAAGCTGGCGCTGAGGGGAAAAAGGAAACACGGATTAGGTCTTGGAAGGACAAAGTAACTCCTGCTAAACAGAACCTTCCGGACTAGGTAGAGGGTGGAATTTTTGCTGCCCCTGGCAAGATTTTTAGAAACAGCAACGACTGTCATGATGTAAAACCTGACTGGACTGGAATGCATCCAGAAGGAGAAGGGTCCCGTCCTGCCTTGCAGTGCACATTCGCAACCAGAGACTTCGGATACCTGCTCCTCTTTGAAGCGAGTGAGGCACGTCAGTGGTTCCTCCTCTGTTGTCTCATCAACCCTCTGGACGTTTTTTATGATCAGTGCTTCTCAGAACAGCCCTGTGAGGTTAATGGCTGTGCAATGGCAGGGAGCCTCAGACCTTGCCTTGGAGGCAGGGAAGGAAAAAACATGCTCCTACTGATAACAAAGGGTTGCCGATAACTGCCAAGTTGAAAATTATTCTGGACTTACTCAGAAATGAAAAAGGCAAGATTCTCGGTGTAGACAAACTAATAGTTACCAAATTTACAACACTCATTTCTGCAGAGATCTGAGAAATGTTGCTTGGATACTGGATAAGAGTGTCTCTTAGAAATAAATGTGGCAGGTTCTCCTCAATGAAATACTTACGTCACATCCTTCAAGGTGTTTCTCAGCTCCCTACCCAGGTTCTGGATGTAGAGCCACTGCCCCTCCTGAACAGGCTGGCCAGTGAGGTGAACGTTGTCTACAGTAAGCTGGGCCTCATCGAAGAGCCACTGGACAACAAAGACTGGACCTGGGAAGACAAAACATTTGGAAAAGGGATTGCTGGAGGATACAGGGAAACCCTTGACTCCATCTTATCTCCCTGCTCTGACACTTACATCGAAGAGTGGGGTAAATCTTATATCCAAAAAAGCAATTCCATTCCTCTCCCTCTTTAAACTGCAGCTTACAGCGCTCAGGGACGACACCGTTCCAATACCTGGGAGACAAAGCAGTAAGAGAACGGAAGGCACAGGACAGTCCTAACCACGGCACTTCCACATGCCACTCTAGTTCTGCTCCGATTACAGTTCCAGCTTCTTGACACCAGAGCTCTTCCTTGGCTACACTGTCCCTTCAACACATTTTAGAGCATCTACAACTGCACGCTTCTTCTGCACATCTAGATTTTAAATTATTGCCATTTCCAACAAATCACTGAAAACCCACTGATGAAAAATACTCTTTAAGTATCAAAATGAAGGAAGATAGAGGAGGAGGACATCTTCTCTGCACTCTGACCTCTTATAAGTGTACTTTAGAGCATGTGATGGTACCTGATTCCTCTTCTGATGGCTTCTGTCGGAGCACACGTTATGGTGTCAATACAGTCAGTTCTGCGATACTGTTTGTTATCCAGGAACCACCCGGAGTCTGCCAAGCCTCGAACCTGAATCCCTTGATAGCCCATCTCCTCCAGCTGCTCCGCCACCCGGTCCACATTCAGGAGCACCCCTGTCCCTCCGGCACTGCAACGGCAACATTACTGCAGCAGTCGGGAAGCACAGAGCCACTGGACCCTGCAGCAGCCACGCTCCAGGAACAACCCCCCCCCGACAATCCTGCTGACCCGGCGGTCACCAAGTTACCTCCTTGCTTTGCAGCTTCCAGTGCTGAGTAACCACCCAACACCTCAGAAACCAAACCCTGTTCTTATTCTTTCTTCTGGGAGGTATCTATGCTTTACATCATTTGCAAGGGGTTTGGCTGCTCAAAAACTGAAAGAATCTGAAGTGAGACAAATTGACCCTCCTCCACCTCTGCATTACAGCCCGTGCGACGTGCGCTGGCGGACTGCAGCTTTGTGCGACACAGCACGATTCAGGGCACCTGTGTCAGCCAGGCCTGGTGTTTTCATCCCAAACCTCTTCACGGGGGACGTGTGGGCTGACAGCAGCCAGCGTTCTCGATGCAGGGAAGGATGAACATGTTCCCTCCCTCCTGCAAAACTTTTACCTTGTTGCTATTTTCTCCATTTTTCCCAAGTGTACCTGGACCAAAAGCTGAGGAAAATGATACTATACCATCCCCTTGTACCACCTAAAGGGGAAAGCTGAGAAGACGCAGGGTTCGCTGTGTTAAGTGTCACTGTGCTCCTAGAGGAAATTTTTCCGGAGCTGCTGCAACCTCCTCCCTAACAGCTTCCTACTGTGGAAACCTCTGCTCTTCACCCCAGGAAATCTTGTCAATACCTACCTGCTCCCTGCTAGCAGCAGCACTTTTGCAGTGCTAAGACCTTTTCCCACCAGCTCCTTTATAACCTCCTGAATGATCAGTGCTCCCATGAAGGCATATTCATCTGGAAGAGAGAGCTCAGTGTCAACAGAACTGTTTCTGTTGCTTCCTCGCACAAATGCTTAAGAACTTTATGAAGGAGTTATGAACCTAAAGCCAGGCCCATTTTCTCCACCTGTACCAAGTACATCCAACAAGAGATACCTCCCCCCGTACAAAACTTCCTTCCCTGACAGAAAGTGAATAGTGTGAACAGAATAGGCAGTAACACGAGCACGCCTTCCTGCAACAATGCTTAGGAACTGGTAAACTCAGAGAAGGAAAACAAGAAGGAAGGTGCTGGGACCCTTTCTCTACAGATGTGGAATACACACACCTTCCTACCACCCGGAATCTCAGCTGTAATTTACTGTATCCTTTTTTTCCCCAATTCACAAAGACAATTCAGACAAGCAGTATTTCACAAAACGTTATACCTCAGCCCCCCCGAAGGCAGCCACATCTGCTGGGGTGTGACTGCCGCAGGAACCGTCACCCGAGGCGGCCATGACATGAAGCCCCTTACTGTGACAAAACCTCTACCCGGGGTATCCATGAGTGGCCAGTCTCTCAATGCAGGAGTTAGTGAAAAGAGACTTCGAGTGCCACAATGTCTGGTTTAAGGCCAGAACTCACAGACCAGCTCAAAGAAAAGCATTAACCTTCTGTCTTTTTGGTGCCACGTCACGGAGCATCTTAATTCTTTTGTTCGCGGCAGCATTTATCAACAGCAATTCCACTCTGGTCAAAGAAAACTCTTCATGAACCTCTGAGAGGAGAACTAAGCCCCTGGTGTTTCTATAGACATTACAGTGCCCAGACACCGATCCTGCTTAAGCTGGGAAACCCAGAGAAGTACACGAGGCAGAACAATTCATCTGCATGAAATCCAGCTGGATGTGGGACTCCTCTCAGCAGACTCCCCGAGTTCTGTCACCATCAAAATGGCAGCCGATGGCAACGCATGTATTGGGATGAACTGTTCTTCATCTCCCAGAGAAACCTGCAGGCAGCTTTTAGCCGGACACACAACGGCTCCTTTCAAAGGCCAAATACCCTCCTGACAGAGGTCTGAAACTAGATTCCCTGCACTTGCCTCTCAGATCAGCGAGGCCAAAGTCACACGCAACAGGGCGCAGTTCCTCAGCTACACCATTTACCGTGCTGCGTGCTGGAACCTGGAGATTCATCTGAAAGGAATTCCGTTCCTCTAATCCTTGCAACTGCACCAGTGTAACATCTCTGCAAGCAGTGGCTCTGAACTATGTCAAAACAGCCTGAGCTAAGGAGATCAGGATGTTTTATCTGGAAGTAGCTTGATATTCTTTCCTGCCCTTCAGCAAGAAAAAGCCTGTTCTTCATTCACATAATTTCACAGAAGTCTGGCCATATCCTTTAATGTGTGATGTCTGGGGCAGGAACAGCCCATCAGCAACACTCACTTTTCTCAGACTTGGAAGAGGCACCGCTCCAAACATCACTTGAGCAATAAGGGATGAATCTGTAAGAGAGAGTTGTGTGAGCACTGATGTTCCTTTGACTTCCGAGCAAGGACGAGGACAGGGTCAAGTCACTGGAAGAAAACTAAACCCTGGGGAGGGGAAAAGGGAAGTTTCTTGTCCGGTTTGACAACTTACCTTGCACACCAAGTGGCAATGATAACTGTCTTACATTTTCTCCTGAACACTGGTAGTTTTACTGAATTACATGAATAAATAACATGTCTTTTATCAATTTAATGGAAGCACTGAGCTCAGTGAACAGAACGACAGGCCAAGACTTTGCCCCAGCTGTCGCGCTGCTACGGCAGACGGGCTGCCACAGGGTAACTGTGCTTCAGCTTTTCACATCAGAAATGGGAAGAGCTTGTCAATGCAACGTAAATGCTGACTGCAACCACTGGAGGTTTTTGCAGGAATTAAGTTATCTTCCCATTTTTGCCTCTGGCTTGCAGAGTGCAAATTAACACCCCTCTCTATTGCTTTTCCCTCCTATATAGGTGCATATATAAGCTCATTTCTCTCCTTTGCACTAGAAGAGCTGCTCCACATTCCTCTCAAATTGGCACACGTGTAACACACCATCAGCCCACCACTCACAGCAGTATTTGTCACTTCAGCCAGCTGAGAAGGGTCTCTAAGCTACCCCTGTTCTTCATTAGATCACCCCACAGCTCCAAGGACACTGGATTTAAGTTTCTCCAGACCTCGCCTGTGCTACTTGTTAGAGAGCTGAAGCAGGACAAATGAGGAAACACACACTTTCCTCTCGCAAGTGTTAGTCTTAATCTGTCCTTGTAGCGTTCTTGCTAGCCTAAAAGGCGGGAGATGCTGCTTAAGTATAAACCCATTTCCCCGCGGCTGTCCCTCCTTACACCATGTTTGCATTCCACCAGTGGGGATTTTCTTCTGGCTGTGATGACAGGATCCCAGTTCCTGCAGAGGGGCACAAAGAAACAAGAAATGTCCAGATGACAGTCTGTGACTTCAGAGAACCTGTCTGAGCCTCAGGCAGGATCTCTGACCACACAGAAAACAAACACCCGTGATGAAAAACATGGTAAATTTCTAAATTTGCCCTTAGCTAGAGATGGAGCCTGTCTAGAAGCCTCTTGTAGGACAGAAAAGAACCTGTGACACATACTTAAACATCTGCCCCCAAACAGCTCCCAGCAGGTGAATTCCATTATCTGCAGTTACAAGATCTGTGTGAGGGACAGAGGTTTAGGTGTTCAGACAGCTGGAGCATGAGCAGGGAGAATGAAGAGAGAAGCTCCACAGTTCCGTGCTGACTTGGGAGCCTCATGGTCCAGAGGGGGGTTTCGGGGTGTGCATGACCCTGGAAGGTGCCAGGGGCACCTCACGTGTGTGCTGTCACACATAGAGCCGTTGCAGCTGGTTCAGTGACACTGTGTGACTGTAAACAGGGAAAAGGTGGAACGAGGCAGCTCCGGGTAAAGGCCCAGTTAATCTCATTTCCCCCTCTGCACACAGGGGCAGCCCTGCCATGGGCAAACGCCACCATGCAGCGTGCGAGGGCGCATCTGGCCCAGCAAACGGGTCGAGAGGCCCAAGATGGGTCCTGATGGGATCAAGAGAAACACAAAATCTCTTGGAAAAGCGAAGAACTGAAGCACAGCTCTGGGGGTCCCAGCAGGTCTGAAGGAAGAGAGCGATTCGGCCGGAGCTCACAGCCCAGCACTCTCTGCCAGTGAGCACCGTCCCCCGAAAGGCGTGTGCACGCCCGTGGGGCAGGAGCGGAGCCCCTCGGTGCCGTGAGGCTGCGCTGGGGCAGAAGCAGGAGCCGCCGCAGGCGGCAGCGACCATGTGCCTGCGAGGACGGTGACGCCGCGGCGGCTGCCCTGGCCTGTCCCCGCTCCCTCGGGGGGGGGTGTG